CCAGGGCATTGTGTCCCATTTCTGTTTAGTTTAAATTTAAGTTTTGTTAGTATTTAGTTAGACTTTTGTAGATCGATAACCCAATTGTCCCCTGGTCAAATTGTCTGCAGGACAATATGCCATCCGGCCATTATGTTTCGAGGACAAAAAGGCCTCCGAACGATTAGTCCTTGCTGGGTATTAAGTATAAAAGAGGTGGGATTTTACTTGAGTAGAACACATCAAGTGTTCCATATATTCCCTAGATAATAACGATAGACAACATTAGCATATATCCCTTTCCTTTTATTTGTAACGATAACGAAATTATATAATAAATTACGTATCTGATCGTATAGAGCGCCGAAGATTGAGACAATACTTTATTTACGTAGATTTATGTTAGATTTTATTTGTTATTAATAAAGACACTTAAATAAATAAACCTTCTGCTTACCTTTCTATTATTTATAACTAAAAATGTTTCGAACTGCGTGCAATAATATCCATCAACAAGTCAAGAAGAAGTTGCGATTATTTATCATGTTGAAGGATGGAATAATGTAGAAGCTGTATTTACAGATGTAAATATTAAATAATTATATTATAAATAAAAAATAATATAATATAATAATTAATTTCATTTTTTTTAGACCCAATATTCTATGGAAAAACCTTGTGATCAACATAATTTGACTTGCATTTATCTTGGTAATATTGGTGTAGTTATAAAAGAAAGAATATATTGTTAGTGATAGTTTTGTTATGACGTACGATACTGCATCTAACCTAATTGACGAATGGTAATTATGTCAATCACGAATCTCAACTTTCTACCATTTCTCTGATTTCTCAGATTTCACTAATTTCTTAGTGATCTCTAATTTCTCTAATTTCACATATTTCTTTAATATATTTAATATCTTTATTTTCTTATATTTATTATATTTCTTATATTTCTTTACTATCTTAAATATCTATTTCATATTGATGTATTTTATATAAATATCTTGTATTTCTGCCTCAATAAATGGCAGAGTCACTACCAATTATCTAATAAATCAATAATATTTATCTCTAAAAACTTATTTTTGCTCATAAACTTAATTTATTCTTCTTTAAATCTATATCAATAAAGATGACTTGACCCTTCAATTTAATTATTCGTGTTTATTTCTTTCATAGTTTAGACGTACTTAAACTCCCTGTTAGCAAATAACCTTTGTTAACTTAATGATGAACTGTTTAAGCTTAACGATATCAAGAAGATAAATTATGTTATTAAGCTTAAACTGTTTGTCATTAAGTTAACAAATATTATTTGCTAGCAGGAAGTTTAAGTACATCTAAATTATAAAAGAAATAAACATGAATAATTAAATTGAAGAATCAAGTTATCTTTATTAATATAGATTTAAAGAAGAATAAATTATTTCACGAGCAAAGGTAAGTTTTAAAGATAAATATTATTGATTTATTAAAGAATTAGTTATGACTCTGCTATTTATTGCGAATGAAATACAAGATATTTATATAAAATACATCAATATGAACTAGATATTTAATATAGTAAAGAAATATAAGAAATATAAGAAAATAAAGACATTAAATATATTAAAGAAATGTATGAAATTAGAAATTACTAAGAAATTAGTGAAATTAAAGAAATCAGAGGAATGGTAAAAAGTTAAATTAATATTTATGACATTATGATGAAACAATCACAAGTCGAACGCTGATAAATCGGGTACCTTCCCGATTGGTTACTATTTTTTGATTAGCAATCAATAGATAAAAATCAGTAGATACTACAATTGGGTATAAATCGGTTAATACCATAATCATAATTATTAGGTAGAATTACATAAATCAGGTTCCAGCCCGATTTTATACTTATTTTTAAAATTTATAAC